GGTTTATCCTTGGTGAAGACAGGCTTGCTTTTGGTTGCCATGTTCCTAGGAAGACCCCCAGTATCTGCCTGGTTGTCGTACCATTTCAACGGCCTCAAAATTTCTGGGTTTCTAACTTGGAACAGCAGTACAGATCATCAGTTCTGACTTCACTACAACTTCACTTGGTGAATGCTTGTGCTAGTCATTGATTTAGGAGTTATTGAAGACAGATACAACCTTTCAACTAAAGTTTAGCAGTAGAGGATTTCTTCAACACTAAATATTAAGATTCTTGCATAAGCCCAATAGTGATCAAATATGACACAGGTTTTTTAAGCTGTGTGACCTATGTTCTGTTCATGGTTTGTCTTCCGTTGCAGTCATTTGTCAAAACATTCACCTGCTGCCGGGTCACACTGAGCTTGGTTCCAAATTTAAGGCTCAGTCAGATGTCCAACTAGCATTTAAAACCTTGGCATAAGAAAACAGGTTTCTTTGTATCTCAATATCTTGTGTGTAACGGGCTATGCTCCTTTAGAAACTTTAAGATCAGTGATGTGTCATATCAATGCCTTCAGTTGGCCATTTCCTCTTCAATATTACACATTTTAATTAGAGATATTAAATCTTATTTTACTTGTGAACATTTCAAATGATGTAGTCATAACCCAGTATAACATTATCCATAATTTGCCTTATCAGGTTGATTGGTAATAACAAGGTATTGGTAGTGCTCCTTGGGGCTGCCAAGGCATTCTACCAAATATTACCAAATAGGTTTTGTGTGTGTTTGTGTTTGTGTCTCAGCCTTTCCCAACCTTTAAACCTTTGAAATACTTTTCTGTTTTTAAGAAATCCTTGCATAAAAATTAGTTTGTGTGGCTCATAGTACCTCAGTATGATCAGTATGTTATAGATATAATAACTAAAGGAATAAAGAATAAATATTAACTCTTTGATTTTTAAGCTTGGGCTGGCCATGAGCTGAGTCCTTGAATTCTCTGCTACACCTGTACAGCTTATTTGCTTGCAAAAGTCAGTGGTGCATACAGGAAAATTGGGGAGAGTATTTCGGGAGGTAGACGCTAAGGTTATTAATCGACTATCCTTCTCTCTGTGCAGTGCAGAACTCTTCATGTCTACCGGCATATCTAGCAAATTTGACATCCAGAATGGATTATCTTTAACATTCCCCTCCTCTGTATCAGTTTCAGTAATATTCTAAAAATAAATCTAATAAAAATAATAGAAATGCAGGTAATGAAAACCGTGCACATGGACAGTGGGGAAAAGGGCCCCTTTGCATTCATGGCCAGTGAGGAAAGAGGCCATCTTACAGACAGCTAAACATTTCTCACTGGTTGCTTACTTGAGACAAGAGGAGATGTTCTACTGCTCCCATGCCACTGACTCTGCCTAGAGATGTCAGCGGTGGAGCAGTGAAAGCATATTAAGGCTGGTGATCAATCCACATGAAGGGGTCACATCATTGCAATTTCTCACAAAACCATGGAACCTTCAGGGGGTCATGCATTTTACTATCTCTCATGGAATCCCAGAACTCTTGTGGAACATAAGAACCCCAGTTGAGAAAAGCTGGTTTAGCTGTTATGATTCCGATAGTACCATTAGTGTAAGTGTGTTATGACAGTGTTTGATGTGAAAGGTTTAGTTTACTCAGTTGTGCTATATACATTTATTCATTATATACATACATGCTATATAATGTGTCAGTCATTTAGGAACAGAAACTAAAAACTAGCTCAGTCATGAAGGGGTTAAAGGCCTCATTTCTTTTTCTTTAAAGGCCTCATTTCTTTTTCTGAAAACAGTAGAATGATGGGTTTTACCAAAAAAATTGAATTTTGTTTCATCTGCCCACAGCACATTCTACCAAGGGGATTTTGGCTTCCTCAGGTAAGTTTTGGCAAACTCCAATCTGGCCTTTTTATGTTTCTGTGTCAGCAGTGGGGTCCTCCTGGGTTTCCTACTATAGTGTCCCTTTTCATTCAGATGGCGACATATAGTACAAGCTGACAAAGTTGTACCCTCTGCCTGAAGGTCAGCTTGCATTTGTCTGGAACTTGATCGAGGGTCTTTATCCACCATTCGAACAATCCTTCGTTGCAATCTTTGATCAATTGTTCTCTTTCGTCCATGTCCAGGGAGATTAGCTAGAGTGCCCTGGGCTGTAAGCTTCTTGACAATATTGCGCACAGTTGACACAGGAACATTAAACTCTCTGGACATGGACTTGTAAGCTTGAGATTGTCCATGCTTTTCCACAAAAACCTGGAATGCAATTATGTCTTGCAATTTGGAGAAGGTGCCAATAATTTTCTTAATGTGTCAGATTTGGCTTTTTTTATTTCACTATTTCGCCTGACGAGTGGCTTCTCTAAGAGACGCTCGATCGCTTGTATTAGCAGCTGTCACTGCCAATCCCGAGATCCGCTGTGCCCGATGCGGCCAGGACCGGCACTGCTCTGTGACAGGAGATCAAAGGGAGTTCAGTATACGAACTCCCTTTGATCTCCTCTCAGTCCCCGAATGCAGGAAGTGATGCATATTACATCACTTCCTGCATTCAGTGTCACTCTCCAGCTACAGAAGCTGATGAAGCAGATCTCTGCTTCATCAGCTTCTCTGGGTGTCCCCAGGTGACATTAGGGGTCTTGGAGACCCCTGATGTCTCCATAAAGAGGACCTGTCATGTAAATTGGCTATCAGATAGCGGGATTCTTAGCCCCAAGTGTAATAGCAATAAAGTTGTTTATATCAAAAAAAAAGTAATACAAAAATTAAAGAATTCAAAAAACTTAAAGAAGCATAAAAAAATATAAAAAATAAAAATATGCGTTGGTGCGCCTACGCGCGAAAACGACGATTGTGCCACACATGTTACATATCGCCGCAAACGTCGAGGACAATCATTTTAGAGCCATTTATCACTGATAACACTAAACTGATGAGCAGTAAAAGCATTTTAATAGTCGCCTATGGGCGTTTTTCGCGATTTTGTGGGCGCACGCAATTTTAAGGCTTGACATGTTTGGTGTCTATTTACCCGACGTGACCCCGACTTTTATGTTTTACTAAAAATATCAAATTTTTCAAGCACTGTATATATATAGATATCTATAGATATATATAGATATATCTATAGATATCTATATATATATATCTATATATATACATCAAAGTAAATATGGCCCAGACCATTGTACAAAGCCAGACCAATGAACAAAATGTTTATGGACACTCTTATGACAGGTATGGTACCGGTGGATTGGCAAAGAGCGAATGTAATACTGATATACAAAAGGGGGAAACTAAGTACACCAGATAACTATAGGCCAGTCAGCTTACAGTCAATAGTGTGCAAAATATTAATAGGCATGATAAAGGACTACATGCAGTAATTTGTGAATAAATTTGGTATCATAAGTAGTAACTAAAATGGCTTCATGAAGGACAGTTCATGTCAGTCCAATCTACTGACGTGTTATAAGAAAGACAGTATTAATTTAGACAGAGGAAAACCAGTAGCTGTGGTGTATTTGGACTTTGCTAAAGCATTCGATACAGTGCCCCACAAATGTTTAATTCATAAACTAAGTGGTATCGGTTTGGATGAAGTTGTATATCCATAGGTGGAAAATTGGCTGCAAGAATGGATCCAGAGGTTGGTAATAAATGGGTAATGTTCTAATTGAGCAAAAGTTGTGAGTGGGGTGCCCCAGGGTTCAATGACATAGAGACTGGAATAAATAGTTTGATTTTGGTTTTTGCAGACGATACTAAACTGTGGAGGGCATTAGATAAAATTGAGGCATGGGCTACAAGATAAAAAATGCAATTTAATACTGAACAATGTAGGGTTATGCACATGAGAACAAAGGACGTGTGCCCAAACTACAGCTTGGGGGGTCTACATTAGAGAAGGGGAACATGGGAAAAGACCGGGGGGTGCTCATAGATCACAGATTGTAGCAATAGTATGCAATGCCAAGCAGCAGCCAGCAAAGCAAACAGGATACTGTTGTGCATTAGAAGAGGGCTTGTAGCAAGGGAAAAAAAGAGTAATGCTTACACTTTATGAATCACTGGTTCGGCTTCATCTTGAGTAAACGGTGCAGTTTTGGTTGCCTATGAAGCTATGAAGAGCGCGTTCAAAAATGAAACTTATTCACCTTAGAAAAGAGGCGATTAAAGGAGAACTATGGGGTCAGTGTTTTTCCCCATAGTTCTCCTTAGGGTAACGGGAGGACACAAACTAGCGTCCTCCCGTTACCCTAAGCTCAGTATACCGCGAGCTACAGCTCGCGGTATACTGAGACGCCGGAGCGGATCCCGACGTAGATGACGGGATCCGCCCAGCTGCGTGAGTGACAGCTGGCTCTGCCTATCTAGAGGCAGAGCCAGCTGTACCCGTCCCCTCCCCCGTCCGTTCCGCCAGTCATCGCTGGCAGATCGGAGCGGGGAGAGGGGAATCCAGCCCCTCCCCCTGTCATGGCAGAGAGCCGTGACAGGATCGGAAGGTGAGCGAACCTGGTATGTGTTCGCTCACCTCCCGATCTACTGAGCCGACCTGTGACAGTCTCATTGTCACAGGTTGGCTAGAACTATGAGGTGAGTGGAAATCACTCATCTCATACTTCTCCTTTAAGAGTGGCCCTTATCGCAGTCTTCAAAATCATCAATGGGGACCACAATATTCAAAACAAGTTGTTTATACCGAGAACTATATTGAGAACACGGGGACACAACTGGAACTGGATGGACTCTTGTCTTTATTCAACCTCACCTACTATGTTACTATGTTACATGCCTAACATTAATAAATAATTTGCCAAGGCATTTTTTGTTTTTGTTGAAGCCATCTTATATTGTGGTTTATTCATATAAATGTGTGTACAATGTGGTGTATCTTTGTGTGTGTGTGTGTGTGTGTGCATGTGTGAGTGTTACTATTTTAACACAGAAGAAATAACCATGATTTGTTTTTTTCCCAATAGTACAACCTTGTATGTTCAGATGCCTGGAAACTTGACATGACACAGTCTTCACTGAACTTTGGATTTTTAATAGGTGCTCTGATTTTGGGTTATGCAGCAGACAGGTAAACATCAATGATGCATGCTAATGTTTTTTTTAGCTTCTTTTTTAACTTCGTAAAAATTCCCCAATATTATATCATTAGGGCATTTAAAGTCTTTGAAAATGTGTTAGCTTACTTCAGGATAATTATATATGATAGCCTGTAGACCCCTTGAAAATAAATTCTGCTTTGTTGGACACGATAGTCTCAGTTGATGAAGAACATTTTACATTTGTTGATGTTAAGGATAATCTTTGGAATAGTGATCCTTTTTAGTCTGAGCCATAAAAACACAAGGTGACGGTTTCCCTGATCTAAGGGGCAACTTTCCATATATCAGACTTGTTTATAAAAACTATTAAATATCTTCTGCAAAAGCAGTAGTAGTGATTATTCGAATTCCGTGTTTTTTATTTAAGTACAGATGGTTGAAAGATGCACATTAAACATTAAATCTCAAACATGA